AAAAAAAAAAAAAAAACCTAACGAAAGGAGTTTCATGTTGGGACAAGATGATCACCTTCATCCCAACCATCACTACATATCAGTGCTATGAGAACTACAAGTAGAATGGAAAAGAGCATCAAAAGCATTTTGGAACCTTTCTTCCAACGGCTGACCTCGTTGCTAGACTTCAGAATTTCAGTTTTCATAACGGGGACTACCTCATGAGACACTTGCAGATCACCATCAGCAGGACTATCATTTGTTGATGATACATATTCAGAGACACCTTCATAGTGCTCATCATCATTGCATATACTTTCCTTCCCATTAACCTGATGCATCGGCTCATGTTGAAAACCATTTTGCCTTTGGGATGGGTGAGATCGGAATCTTCTAGAGGATGGACTTCTGAACCTCATTGTTTGTTTTTCAAAGAAGTTTGTGTTAACAATATTAGGTACCTGAAGTGAATGAATTAGCTTCTTTGGAGTTGGGAAGATGTTAATGTCATCAACGTTAATGTGACATCGTGACCTCTGAAATATATGATGAGCAACCAAATCAATTCCAAAAAAAGGAAATTGTATTGCAGTACAATTTGGTAGCACTAGTTGGCACAAAATATAATGAAATAAATTTGAGTAACAATTCGAAAGGACAAATTTGTCTGATCTTTTAATCTCTGAAGTTCGAAATTCTATGGACCGAAATGTAAATCTTACGTAACTTTTGAGTTTCTTATTCATTCTGGACAAAGGTTCAAGGGCATTGCGGGTCACGCCACTTACACACTTCACTTCAGAGTTGCTCTGTTTTCCTCCATTTCTCGATTAGGGTTAGGTACTGCGAGGAAGAAGAAGAGGAAGGAGAAGAAAAATCAAGAAGGGAATAGGAAAAATGGGGTTCTCAATGCAGCCATACGGGATTTAGGCTATGCTGAAAGAAGGGCACAAGCATCTGTCTGGTTTTGAGGAGGCAGTTCTGAAGAATATTGATGCTTGCAAGGAGCTCTCTGCTATCACACGCACATCTCTAGGCCCTAACGGTACGTCTTTCCCTGTGATAATCCATTTTCTGGATCCATAACTACCTCTTCGATTCATTTGATTTCTCTAAGTTTAGTTTTTCTTGTTATTGTTTGTTAAGGGTTTAGCGTAATATAGCTGATCTACTGCAATTTAGGGTTTTGTTTCATTTTTCGTGTCTGGGTTGCATGATGGATCAGAAGGAGCAGTTCCTAATTTCTAATTTTAAGCTATACACTAATCTTTTTTTATTTTTTTTAACATAAATGATGCTTAGTTATAACCATTCTATTAAGTAATATTTGCTAGAATTTTTTTTTTTTTTTGAGAATTTAATGGCTTGATATGGCTCTGGATGATACCATAGTTTTATTTTCCAAATTATTCAATAATTTTTTATTTTTTGGATTTGAAATGAATGAAACAGAGGATGGTGTCGAATTACTCACTGTTAAGAGAGCAAATCCGCCAACATAAAACCATGAACTTGTTACTTTCCCCCATTTGAGCAGTTTTTATTTGTCTTGTTTCTCTGATTCTTTTTTCTATAGAAGGGTTCCGTAATTTTCCTTGTAATTTCTTTGAACTCAGGTATGAATAAGATGGTTATAAATCATTTGGACAAGCTGCTTGTCACAAATGATGCTGCTACTATTGTAAATGAGGTTGAGGTTCAACGTCCTGCTGCCAAGATATTGGTTCTGGCAGGGAAGGCTCAACAGAAAGAAATTGGTGATGGTGCTAATTTGACCATTTCGTTTGTTGGAGAGCTCCTCCAAAATGCAGAGGAGCTAATTAGGACTGGCCTGCAGTCCTGCACCCAAGTGAGATCATCAGTGGATATACCAAAGCTATAAACAAGGTTTCCTCAATGCATTGGCAACGGGATGGAATGGAAAGATAATTCTCAACCTTTTTGGATACATTAAACTGTTCTAATACCTATTTCTAATAAATGCAGACTGTTGAGATTTTAGGTGAGCTAGTAGAGAAAGGTTCAGAGAGTATGGATGTCAGGATTAAGGAGCAAGTTATCACCAGAATGAAAGCTGCTGTTGCTAGCAAGCAATTTGGACAAGAAGATGTTTTGTGTTCCCTTACAGCTGATTTAATATTAATTGACCATCCTATGCATTTTTTCCAGTGAGTGGTTATTTTATTAGCTCTTTGTCTAATTGTGGCAACCATTTTCTTCCCCCCTTTTGTACCGAAGGCATGTATCCAAGTTTGCTCCAAGAACCCAGCAAGTTTTGATGCTGATAATGTGTGTGTTGCAAAGCTCTTGGGAGGAGGTCTGCATAACAGCACAAATGCATAATAGTTTGGGGTATGGTTTTGAAAAACGATGCAGTGGGAAGTATAAAGCAAATGGAGAAGGCAAAGGTGTGGGGCTATTTTTCTATTTATTTCATTTTTGTCAATTTGTTATTGAAAGGTTGGATTTCTTAGTCCTGGAATCTCTAACATGTATGTGTGCATTGCCCTTTTTCAGGTAGCTGTGTTTGTTACAGGTGTTGATACCTCAGCCACTGAAACAAAAGTAACTGTCTTAATCCACAGTGCTGAACAGGTAAGGCTCAAGCAGATCCTCAAATTTTTGCAAAATCATATAGTAGATGCCATCATCCTTTCATCCCTATGGTTGTCTACTAGTCTTCATGCATGGTTTCCCAATCCTCAATACTAGATGATGTCATGCCTTAGCTACCTCTCTCACTTTATTTCCAAATGCTTTTCCATGTCTTTTTCTGAAAGTATTCATATGCTTCTTTTACTAATTTGATGCTAAAACTTGAAAGGTTAACACAGTGTCATAATGCAGCTAGAGAATTATGCAAAAACTGAGGAAGCTAAGGTTGAGGAGCTCATCAAAGCAGTGGCAGATTCTGGTGCCAAAATTATTGTTAGTGGTGAAGCAGTTGGTGAAATGGCATTGCATTTTTGTGAGCGTTACAAGTACATCGACCTTCCTAGTTCTTTTTTTCTTTTCCATAATAATTCTCAACTTTGTTCTTTCTTGTCTTCATCAGAATCAGATGCAAGCTTACTAAAGGACTTTGATAGTTGATGGCCAAAAAAAATGTTTGATACACTATTTTTGATATTTGTAGATGTTTTTGTCTCGATCCTCCATAGCATTGGCTTCTAATTTTGAAGTTTCTCCTTGCAGGCTAATGGTCTTAAAAATCAGCTCAAAGTTTGAACTGCGATGATTTTGCCACACAACTGGTGCTGTTGCTCTTGTAAGCAAGTCATTTCTAGATTATGTTAGGAACTGTATATTTTGCTCTCTAACATACCTGAGTTTTTCCAAGAGTTGAAACTCAGCCAGCCAAAGCTAGATGACCTGGGATATGTTGATTCAGTTTCGGTTGAGGAAATTGGTGGAGTTTAGGTATGATAAAGAACTTCAGTCACATTATCTTTATTTCAATTTTTTGTTTAGGTTTTGCTTGTCTTTCTTGAACTGTAGGTCACTATTTTACGAAGTGAAGAAGGTGGAAACAGAGTTTCTACTCTGGTTCTTCAAGGAAGTACTGATAGTATATTAGATCATCTTAAGAGAGCCATTGATGATGGAGTGAATATGTATAAGGTGATTCTGTTTAATAATTTTTTTCTTCTTTTTCTTCCAACCAGTTTGTAGTATTTCATCTCTATAAACCTTGTCATGTTCCATTTTTGTTGGCCTTTGGAATGGTTAATTGTGTTCTTGTTATATGCGAATTTCATTGGCAGCTGTATAATTGTTTGCTCTATACCGTTCTTTTTCCTTTGGGTGGTCAGGCAATGTGCAGAGATAGCCACATGGTACCTGGACTTGTAGCTATTGAAATTAAGTTGAAGAGTTTTCTTATAAAGAAATAGGGTAATACTTGCATAGGATTATTTTAAGTGTTTTCCTTGATGGTACCAAATCTGCATGGCCACCATGTCTTCTCAACAGAGTCAGGCCATTTTATTCTATACATTTTGAAGCAGTTATTGCATTTATATTTTGCGTATTCTGGAATGTTAGTTCTTGCTGTTAAGTGTATGAAGATAGCTTTCCCCTGGGGAACTATTGGAATTAGGAAGGTTGGTTTTTAACCTAACTTTTTACAGATTGGATCAGCATGCTATCACTAAATTTGCTGAAAGTTTTGAAATGATACCAAGAACCCCAGCAGAGAATGCTGGGCTGAATGCTATGGATATCATATCAAGGCTGTATGAAAAACATCCATCTGGAAATGCCAAAGTGGGTGTTTACTTGGCAGCAAAGGGGGGGAGTGGGGTGGGCTGAACTGTTTTGCAATCAATTTATGCCCAGCGACTTTTCTAGGTACTTGGCAAATTGATCAGTTTTGTGGTAGCCCTTTACAATGACTAAATCAGTTTTTCCATGATTATGAAAGTGGACCACACTAAAATGGTCATAGCTAAACTACCATAATCAGAGAAGTCCTGCTAGTAACAATGGTCAACAGAAAGGTCTACTTACAGCGAATCTTTGGAGTTCTAAACTCAGATGAACTAAAGTGTGACCGCTGCATATATTGGCATGGAAGTTTTCTTCAAAATAATTTACTTGTCTTTTCGTACAGGTTTTTTGCTCTTAAATATGCTGCAGATGCTGCTTGCACCGTATTATGAGTAGACCAGGTAATTCAGCAGAAAGAAGCAGCTTGATGACAACCTAGCAACTGCCTTGTGCTAAATTTAGATTCAAACCCTTTTTTAAAAACATCTTTTCACATAAGTTGGTTGACGAGGTCCAGTGTTCAAATTGCAGATTATAATGGCAAAACCAGCTAGTGGTCCGAAAGAGAGAGCAACCTGCCAGAATGGATGACGACTAGCGTCTGCACTGAAGTCGATCAATTGTCTTCATATTGTATCTCACTGAGCTGGTTCTGAACTTGTTTATGCATCTCTTGTTTTCTTTTGGATGCCCAAGAACTTTGGCTTGGAAATTTTTTTTTTTAATTTTAAAAAAGAAAAATTTCTTGTTCTTTCTTCAACTGTTACTTGAATCTCTTCAATGGCTGTAATGCTCTACTGAAAATCTGATGAATTATTTTTCATTGTCTTAGTAGGTTCTACAGCAAAAGTGAAATCCGAGTGTGATGTGATGCCCCTTATACGTTGGAACAAGCATGTCGTAGATCACAAAGATGGTAATTTTATGTGATGCCACTTACAATGATTAGATCAGTTTTCCATGATTATGATATGGAACCAATCACATCTTCCTCCTATAGTTAAATAGCCATCCCAAATTGTGTATTATTTCAAATCTTTTTCCATTCATTCTCTAATTTCTTCTCTCTCTTCATTTTGTGTTTGAGAAGCGCAAAACATACAAATCACCCTCTTAACCCATCGATTGGGGGTAAATCACCCCTCCAACCCACTTCACCCGCAAACCAATCCCCTCAACTCACCCGTAGTAGCAAATCAGCTCCTTTGTTAATATTGACATCATCATTCTGTTAACTTTTAACGGTCCGCTCATCAACCCATGCCTCTGCATCTGATGTGGCTTTTTTTGTTGAGATGGGTAAGAAGCCACAGGAGCATCGATTCTCTTTGGAAATCAGAGGTGACATAAGCTACGCATTTCCTAGGGAATCAGATACTTACATTTTGCACTCAACGCTGGTGCCATGGTTGCAGAAGGGGTAACTGAAAACAGTGTAAAGCTTGTCCATCCTCTTCCTTGGCGGCAGCTTTGCTTTTGACTTCCTCTTTCCCATACCTCAATTCCTTCTGCGGATAAAAGCTCGAACTGCATCCCGTGGAACACCTCGGATAGATATTGATTTTCTCCGGCCAAGGCCTGTGGATTGCTTTAACAAGCCTTTTAGTATAGGAGAAGCCATGCCCTGATACCAAACACGATTTTTATTGTTTCGATGTAATCTTCAAACAAACCTCAATTGATTGACAAAAATGAGGAGGCTTGCAAGAATATTGGCATGAGCAAAGATAACGCCACCATTATCAGTATAAACAACAACCTCTGCTCTGTAGCCTCCATCAAAGAGACCATCCCACAAGTTCCTTGTGGATGTAGAGACACAGCAATGCCCTCTCAGTGGCGATTCATTCATCATCAACCCCTGCCGGTGATAAATGGGCGTTGCTGGACCAGGCAACGGAGGTGGTACCGGCGGGGCAACAGGAGAAGATTGCCCACCAACAATGTCCGTCCTTTCCATTAGCTT